GGGGGGGGGGGGGGGTCAAGGGCTGAGCAACACCCCCAGGCTTTATCATATATAAAAACAAATATACAAGGAGGGGGACATACACCGTACCTCTAATCCTATGGTTGGGTAAGAGTCAACCTACCTACTAAGGTTAGTCAACTCCACCATATACAATAAGAAGTATTATTTAAACTAAGCACCTAGAGAGGACTCCTCCCTTAATACAAAGTTACTAATAATACATAAATAAGGGAGACTCTCCCCTTACAAGAAATAATAAACTAGGACTAAACAAATAACTATGCCTAAGACAGAGTAATTCGGTTAGTATGTATCTCATGAAACAATTAAGACATTGTAATATGTCTTAATCATATTTAAAGGAATGTTGTTATACTTTGACAAGCAATTATGTAAAGAAAATCCTTTGAAATTCGTCTTCTCGGAAAATGTCTCATACTCTTCAAGGAGGTTGTTTAATTCTTTTCAACTTCTTGCGTCTGAAATTTTTGAACTACCAATTTTTCCAATAGATAGCTTCTTTTAACTGTCTGAGGTAATTGATGATGAGTGTAGTAATTTTGTACAATGTCTTGTTGATGACTATGTTTGGCCAAGAGATCAACTGTACCATTTGCCTCCCTGTACGTGTGCACACATTGAAAAGACACACATTGGTTAGCTAAAATATGCAATTCCTGTATACACTTGTGTATCCTCCAAGGGGGATTAATGACCTGCAAAAACCACTTAGTCAATAATTCAGAATCAACATCTAAGATAATACTATTATAACCATGTTGTATACACCAATTTAAGCCAAAAACTGCAGCCTGAATCTCAGCCTGATTATTAGTCCCTTCACCAAGAGGTACTGCAAAGGCATATATCACATACTCCCTTGATCATCTCTTAAAATGCCTCCCCCTCCAATTTTCCCCGGATTAGGTATAGCACTACCATCCGTATTCAACTTGTATCTATTATAGGTAGGAGTCTTCCACATAACTAAAGTAACTCTTAAATCCTGTTTGCATTTTTCAATGTAAGTCACGACTTCTGGCCATATTACAGGCAGATGAAGATATGGAAAAGCAGAATTAAGCATTAAAAGCATGTCTTTAATAATCAAATATTTAACTTTGTGGATACTTGATGTTTTCCTTCCATACTTGACTGAACATCTGTTTTTCCAGCAAATTACTACAGGGAGTGTTTGAACGATTGTCTTGTATGTTGTGTTCCCTGCAATACCACTCCAACACATTAGCTGGTTAGTTAATGAAATTTGTTGAAAATTGAGACCCAAACTCCCTGCAAAGAACTTCCAGATATGGCCTGCAAAATGTCCTTGAATGAAGATATGATCAACCTCATCCCAACCTTGCTGAATGCAGCAATAGCATTTAACAGGTTCCACTCCAAAGTTAGCTAATGTTTCATTGGTTGGAAATTTATGTCTTATTGCTCTCCATAGGAAAAAGGACATTTTGAAAGGAATATTTCGATACCAAAGTTGAGAATTAATAACAGTAGTATCATTCTTCTTTCTGCAAATTCCCCAAGCTGATTTACAGGTGAACTGTCCATCTTCAGTGATTTTCCAGACTGCACTGTCTTAAAGTCCCTGCACTAGCTGCACATTAGTATTCATAATAGAAGGAATAAGGAGAGGAGGAACTTGTTGTCGCAATTTCCTTTCATTCCATTTTCCATCTACTAGAAAGTGTGCAATGGTAGCCTTGTTAAGACTTGATATATCAGTAGTATAATTAGCTAGGGCACCCCTCCTAGCCAATCATCCCACCAAATTTCCTTTCATTCCATTTTCCATTTACTAAAAATTGTGCAATGGTAGCATTGTTAAGGCTTGATATAGAGGTATTATATGTAGCTAGAGCCCCCTTTCCTAGCCAATCATCCCACCAAAAGGAACAACTTCCAGATTGGATTTTCCAGCCTATATTCTCCTCGACTTGAAGCTTGTTTTTCATCATGTATCTCCACATCAGTGAATTTCCAGTATCCACCTTTTTTGCAACTGGATGAGCTCTTTGGCAATATTTGGCTTTAAGAAATTGACTCCATAAGGTTACTTTTGTTCTGAAATTCCACCATTGTTTGTACTGTAAGGATGTGCAAATGTCTGATAGTCTTCTCATCCCTACCCCTCCTTCAGTATATGGAAAACTCATGGTGTCATGAGAAGCCCAATGATATTTCTTTTTATCTTGATCCTTTCCCCAATAAAAATCAACAATAATGGCCTCAATGTATTTGATAGTAGTACTAGGTGAAGAAATTGCAGCCATAGTATGTATAGGTATAGATTGCAAGGCATGTTTGATCAAAGTAATTCTGCCCCCAAAACTAAGTACCCTTGCCTGCCAGCCACATACTTTTTTGGAGACTTTCTCAACTAAATGTGAATAATAGATAATCCTCTGTCGACCAATATACAGAGGGCATACTAGATAAGTAATAGGGCTACTTTTCTAGGAAAAAGTAGTAACTTCTTGAATGGTATGGATAGTGTCCTGTGATGTATTGTCTGGAACCATAAAATGACTTTTTTTCTTTGTTAATCAAGTGGCCAGAAGTATGTTCATATGCCCCTAAATTATCCATAATGAGCTTTAGGGAATGTCTGTCAGTAGAAGCAAAAATAATAACATCATCTGCAAAACTCAAGTGGTTGATTTGGGGTCCTTTAGGTTCCATAAATAAGCCTCTATAGCTTGGATTCTGATGTAAGGAATTAAGCAACTTGGTCAGTACCTCTGCTCCTAAAATAAATAGGGCAGGGGATAAAGGGTCACCTTGCTTAAGTCCTCTAGTGGAATGAAAGAAACCATGCCTATGACCATTAATGATAATAAAATACCAATTGTTACTCATAATTCACCAAACTAAATCAATAAATATCTCCCCAAAACCAAATTTCCTTAGGACCAAACATGTGAATGCCCAAGACACTCTATCATATTCCTTGGTCATATCAAGTTTGATAACCACATTCTTACCTGTGTTTGGTTTTTTAATACCATGAGTAATTTCTTGTGCTAACATGATACTTTCTGTAATACTTCTACCTCTTACAAACCCACACTGATTGTCTGACAGCAATAAAGGCAGAACAGTAGCCAATCTCATGCTCAAAAATTTTGAAATTATCTTGTTGGTAAATTTACTAAGACTGATAGGTTGAAGATCAGTGAATCTTGTAGGCTGTTCAGTTTTTGGAATCAAAACCAAGCATGTATGAGACATGAACTTAGGCATAATGTTACCACAAAAGAAAGATTGTACAGCTGCCAACAAATCTTCTTTAATAATACCCCAACAAGATTGATAAAATTTACCTCCTATACCATCAAGTCCTGCAGCTGAGTTTGGGTTCATAGAAAACACAACTTGTCTGAGTTCCTCTATACTAGGCATTGCTTGCAACATCTCACTCTGTTCAAGAGTGACTGTTGTAGGTATGAATTGAAGAATTCTTTCATCAATTCTATCAGTAGGACCAGTAAACATTTGTTGATAATAGTCACAGGTTGCCTGAGTAATGTGTTCCTCACCCTGTATCCACACCTCATTTGCAGTACAAATTTTATGTAAAAATAACCTCCTTCTTCTACCTCGCATCAAAGCATGAAAGTACTTGGTATTAGCATCACCATCTTTAAACCATTGAAGTTGTGTCTTTTGTTTAAGACCAGACTATTCCATTTTCAAGTACTTAATGTAAGTTGCATTCAGCTGATGTAGATTCTGTCTAACAACTGCATTGTTGTTTGTCATAAGTTCTGCTTCAGAATTCCTGATAGTTTCTTCAAACTCCTTGACCTTACGAAAGATATCTCCATACTCTAGTTTAGACCAGTTACTAAGGGTAGTTGTTACTCTCTTCAATTTCTGATGTAATTTCCACATTGGGTTGCCAGTAACTCCTTTTTCCCAGCATTGTTGTACTGTTTTCAAAATAGTTTCATTGTCGACCCAAAAATGTAAGAATTTGAAGTATTTGATGTGGTTCTCATTAACCTTAGTCATTTCCATTAGCAGGGGACTGTGATCTGAACCAACAGAAGATAGATTCTCTATAGTAATTTGAGGCATAACCTCTATCCATTTATCATTAACCATAGACCTATCTAATCTCTTCCAAACTCTAGCATCTGCATCTCTTTGATTGCACTAAGTAAATGGAAGCCCTATGTATCCTAAGTCAGTCAATCCACATGCCTCTATCACTCCAATAAAGTCAAAACTCTTATTCATATTATAAGGTATTCCCCCAAGCTTCTCCTCTATAGAAGTGATAACATTGAAATCTCCAATTGTACACCAAGGTAAATCCATATTAGCATAAAAGATTAGTCTGTCCCACAAGGATCTCCTCATATAATCCTTACATTTAGCATAGATAAAGGACATCATAAATTTCTCAGAAATATTTGTGTGCTTAAAAGTAATAGTGATGTGCTGAGCATGCTTTTCCAGAATATGACCAGTTACTTCATTAGACCAAAAAACCCAAATTTTCCCATTAGGGTTACTGACTGCATGATCCATCTGTAATTGACTTCTTACCAAGTCAATATGAGTATTGTCTGTAAAAGGTTCCAATATAGCAATAATAGATAAATGATGAATTTTTTTGAGTGTTTGAAGCCTTTCCAAAGACCCTTTGGTATTGATACTCCTAGTATTCCAACAAATGGTTGTAATCATTAATAACCTTATGATTTGGACCTAGTTATGGGTCTGCTGAAGGTGTCAGACTTGCTGGTAATAGTTTGTTGAGGATTGTGTCTAGTTTATTTCCTTCCCCTTGGGGATAAACCCTGTTGTTCTGTTATTCTTTGAACATCAGTGCATTTATCCTGGAAGGAGGAACCAACAACTTGACCAGTATGTTTCATGGTATCTTCTGCATCTTCATCAGACTCCTCCAGAGATTGATTATCAGGATCCCGGTCATCCTCAGAGTTAAGTGCCCCATAATCAGCAGGAGGCACCTTAACCCTGTTAGTATGAATAACCTGTTCAGCATCAGTCTGTTGACCTGTATCAATCCCAGCTGTGTCTGTACCCATACTCTGTTGCAATCTCTTTTTTATAACCTCTCTTTTCTTTTTGCTTAATCTGTCTCCTGATTTGTTATTAAATCTGCCCTGTTGTTGCCTTGTATCTGTGACCTGTGCATTTGTAATTTTCTGTTGATTATTAAAAGGGGTAGCAGGGGCTCTAGAGTCTCCACTATGGTCAAATTCCACTTCCTCATGTCTAAGAGGAGTCAGTTCTCCACCTCCCCTTTTGGATACCCCTTCCTACAATTCAGTATGTGTCTCCTGTTCCTTCCCATCCAAACCTCCAACAGCTACCTCAGCAATAATATTATCAACATTATCAATGGGATTAGGGGATGGGAGCATTGAGTCAATACATGTACCAGCTTGTCCTGTATATACTTCCTTTCCTTTATTGATCTCTGTTACCTGCTTAGAAATTATATCCACCTGTAATTGCTTGGTAGTGTCCTTTCTAGCATTTGCTATTTTCCTGTTATACTCATCTTGTCCCTTCTGATTTGTTACTGCTGTATGAGGTCTGCTATCTCCTTTGGTGCCTTTGTAATTATCCAGAACCTCTAGACTACGTGATGACTCCTACACATCAAGATTAATATATGTATTTTGTGTAGGAATATTAGTTATACCTGCCTGATTGGTGGCCTGTTCTGCTTGTCTAGGATTGCCTCTAGGTGCCTGTAATTGATTATTGTTCCTCTTTTTTTGTGTTTGCCATTGATCCTCTTGCTAATACTGCTTTTGCTCCTGATCTCTTTGTTTATTATACTACTGATTAGTACCTTTCTTCTGATCACCTTCTTTTTGACTCTTTGGTTGAGCATTTTTGTCCATCTCTTTATAATTCTTGTTTCTCACAGCCTCCATATCTTTTTTCTTTTTATCCTCATCCCTTTGCCTTATGGTACAATCACTTTCTAAATGTCCTTGATGCTTACAGTAAAAACAGTAATCGGGAATATTGTCATATTCTTTTTTTTGCCATCTCCCACCTGTGATATCCTCCCCTATATAACCCATCCAAATATACGGAGGTCTCTTTTGAGTAAGATCAACTTGTACCTTCACCCTAGCTTGACTACCCCTAGTTTTTTTAATAGAGGCAGAATCTAAGTATAACACCTTACCAATAGGTGAGAGCAATCCAGTCACAAACTCCTTATTACAGCAATGCCAAGGTAGTTCTGGCAGCGAAATCCAGATAGGGACAATAGGAGTTTCTTCAGCAGGTTTAAAATTAGGAGTCCATACTTAAATTCGCATCACCTGTCCAGCTATACTCATTCTTTGCTTAGTCCAAACCATATTGTAATCAAGCTCATTATCAAGATCAATGTACACATGTCTAGAATTAAAATGGGCAATTTTAACTCCACCCGATAATTGGGTTTGCAAGATCAAGTTCTTCATAATAAGTTCTAACTTAGGCATGGTGTAACTAAATTTCCCAATGAGAGTAAATTTACAGGTTGCTGCTAAATATCTCATCACCTCTTCTTTCACATACAAAATAGCAGGAAGGCCTTGTTTAGTGGTAATTTCAGGGCAGTCAAAGTAATGGGAACATCACATTTGGCCTGTTTGTATCTAAGTCTATCAGCATAGGTTTGCACCACTGTATAAAGGGCCGGTGCAGCCAAAGGGTCATTTTTGGGAAGATTAGGAGGATTAACAGGAGGACGATCACTTCTAATATTATTTGTATTAGTTTTAGGAGCTTGTTTATCAAAATTGCTAAAAATTCTAGGAAAATTATCCCCATAAACCTGTTGTTGATCAGCTCTAATGTTAGACTTAATCGTAATATTCTTCCCCTGTTCTTTAGGAACCCAAGTTTGCTATTGATCATTTTCATTTCTAAGATGTTCAGGATCAGAATTCAACTGGGTTTGATTTGCAAGAAGCACATTTAGACGAGAATTATTATGAATTATACTAGTGTCCATACCTTGTTTCTTGATGAATTGCTCTTCCATATGAGGAGTGCTAGATTGTCCCAAATCTTGAACATGTTGCTTTCCTTCCCTATGTTGAGTTTGAGTCTGGGATAACCCACGAATCTCTTCTACATATTGAAAATTTTCGACGTTCTTCGACGGGATTCCGGCAGAGTCGCCTGCACCAGCAATTCCACCATGGAATGTACTTGAAGTTGCAATGTTATGACCCTCACGACCAATATTACCACTTCCAATAGCAGAATCAGCGTGAATTTCTTCAACAGTACTTTGATTTTGGTGGCGATTTTGGGATGATTCACCGGAATTCCTCGCCTCCGTCGCCAGTGGATTTCTCTCAAATGGGACAGGGAAATCGTGAGATTTTTGACTATTATGAACATCTTGAAACTGGGAGTCTTTTCCACCCAGTCCTTTTCCTCGAATTTGACTCGCATCTTCCATGGGATTATTAATACGAGTTCCTTCCAACTCCTTTTCCATTGCAGTATGGATCGCCTCATCTCTCACCTGCGAGGAGCTGTAGGTTAATTCTGAAGACGATTCTTGAAGCGAGGAAGAGATAATTGGCTTGAGCATCACTGTAGATGGATTTGGCGGCTTAAAACGATCATCTACCAGCGTTCCTTCCATTCTACGGATGCTGAAACGTTGTGAAATTAGCCAAGTTAGCTAAGTCTTGAGAGAATTCCAGATAGAGAAATATTTAGAGAGAGAAAAATTTCTGAAAGTTGGGTTGGTTTTCTAGTCTATAGTATGAAAATTGATGTTGTGTGGTTTGGTCCACTTATGGTGGCTATGTTTACTTCTTGTCTATCTATGCATGTTGAAGATCATGGCCTTGAAGGCAATAGATGTGAAGTGAATTGACGATTATGATGCATATGTTTATGAGGTTTTGCTATGAAGGTTATGTATGAAATCCTCAATTCTAGCATGATGTTTAAAGTGTGTTGATGATGAGGAGTATAATGTGAATGATAATGTTAGGGATAAGGTGTGGTCTACATGATTGATTATGTTAAGTACTATTGTGGAATGACCCCTACCTATATGACCCCTATATGAATGCTTGATCATATACATGTTAGGAGTACCTATTCAATGTTAAATGTGTCCTTGTCTCCTATGATGAAGTGTGGGTGTGTATTCTAGAATCCCTAAAGGCTTTATATGGGAATTGCTCATGAATTGGGGACATTGTGAATCTGTTGTGATCCCTTTAAAGGAAGAACACTCAATATCAATGTTGTTGCTAATATGCCACTATGAGGACCAATATGCACACACACACTCTACATGTATAGCTATGAATATGATGTGTTATGGTGTCTATTGAAAGGTGAACTCTTAGATGCACCATTACATCTTATTATGCATGCAAA